TGGTACAGATTGATGGACAAGAAAGGGGAGAAGATGAGCAAAGGGGAGATTATGCTGGCAGTATGGATGGGAACACAAGCAGATGAATCATTTTCGGTGGCATGGCATTCAGATGCACACACCGTTAGTCAATCCAACCTTTCCAGCACAAGATCAACAGTCTATATCTCTCCGAGGATGTATTACCTGCGTATTCATGTCTTGGGAGCTCAAGATCTCGTCCCATCGGATAAGGGCAGATTACCGGATCCGCATGTTAAAGTGTCGCTTGGAGGAGCTCAGCCGAGAACCACCAAGCCATGCCAGAAAACAATTAACCCGAACTGGGAGGATGAACTCATGTTTGTAGCTTCTGAACCTTTCGAAGATTTCATAAGGGTGCAAGTTGAGGATAGGGTTGGAGGCAAGGATGAGATTTTAGGGTGGGTGGAAATTTCTCTCAGGCGAGTGCCGCAGAGGCACGACACATTTAAGCCTCCGGATCCCAACTGGTGCAGTTTAAACAAGCCCTCCAGCGCAGCGGAGGAAGGAGAGAAGAAGAAGGAGAAATTCTCGAGCAAGATCCTGCTTCGAATTTTTCTAGAAGCAGGGTACCATGTTCTTGACGAGTCTACACATTTCAGCAGCGATCTCCAGCCATCATCAAAACATCTCAGGAAAGCTCCTGTTGGGCTTCTTGAAATTGGGATTTTAGAAGCCAAGAACTTGCATCCAATGAAGGGCAAGGACGGCCGGATGACAGATTCATACTGTGTAGCCAAGTACGGAAACAAATGGGTTCGAACCAGAACTCTTCTTGATACTCTGCACCCCAGGTGGAATGAGCAATATAGCTGGGATGTTTACGACCCATGTACCGTAATCACCATTGGGGTGTTCGATAATACCCACATCAACGGAAGCAAGGACGATGCAAAGGATCAGAGAATTGGAAAGGTCAGAATCCGGTTATCAGCACTGGAAACCGATCGTGTTTACACGCATTTATATCCTCTGTTGGTTCTGCAACCTACTGGTTTGAAGAAACAGGGTGAGCTTCATCTTGCGTTGCGGTTCACCTGCACAGCGTGGGTCAACATGATGGCTCAGTATGGCCGGCCATTGCTCCCCAAAATGCACTATGTTCTGCCAATTCCGCCCAGGCAAATTAAGTGGCTGCGCCACCAAGCCAGGAATATAGTGGCAGAAAGGCTGGCGAGGGCAGAGCCACCACTGAGGAAGGAGGTGGTGGAGTACATGTTGGATGTGGATGACCACATGTGGAGTGTCAGGAAAAGCAAAGCTAATTTCCACCGCATGAAGTCGCTTCTCACTGGGGTGACCAGAATTCACAAGTGGTTTAACGATATCTGCAACTGGAGAAATTCGCTGACGACATGTCTAATTCATGTGTTGTTCTTGATACTTGTTTGCTACCCGGAATTGATCTTGCCCACGATTTTTCTGTACTTGTTCGTGATTGGAATATGGAACTACAGGTTCCGACACAGGAAACCCCCTCACATCAATGTTCGGCTTTCATGCGCAGATAATGTGAACCCAGACGAACTGGATGAGGAATTAGACTCGTTCCCAACCGTAAGGCAATCGGATCTCATCAGAAAAAGGTATGATCGGCTGCGGATCGTGGGAGGGAAGGTGCAGATGGTGCTTGGAGATCTGGCATCCCAATTAGAGAGGGCTCAGGCAATACTAAGCTGGAGGGATCCAAGAGCAACAGCAATCTTTATCATGTTCTCCTTGATCCTGGCAGCGGTCATCTATGTGACTCCATTCCAGGTGGTGGCAGTTCTAATCGGACTCTACTGGCTCCGGCATCCCCGCTTCAGGGGGAAGCTGCCATCTGCACCTGTCAACTTCTTCAAGAGATTACCTTCAAAGACAGATACGCTACTATGATCAGTTTATAATTCATTCAATCAAGCTTCTCAATGAAGATGATTCAGTATATAGCTTATAAAGCTTCCCTGTTTCTCCATCAACAGAATCTCACTTTTGCGTCCAAGCTTCCTTCAGATTCATCCTCGGAATCAAATACTCTTTTTGGCTGTAATCCTGTATTCTGTTGAGAATTGTAAGTTTATGCAAGTGTTAAAATAAAGTACTATCATTACTCAGCTCAAGAATGCATGTAATTGTTCTCTCTCGGATAAAAATTGTGTCAAAAATGCTACTAGTATAATCATATATGGTAATAAGAGTTCTGTAAATGCCAATCATGTTCTTACTGAATTCCTTCAATTCAAACAAAAGAGCTGTTTATGATTCATTTGAAGATATGATCCTGAACCCAAGACGTACCACAACTGCAACAACCATCAAAAAGCTGACAAACACTCCACCAAGAAGAACCTTACCAATAATTCCCCACTCACCCAAGCTTCCTAGGCACCAGACTTGGCTTTTCTTCAGCCGTGGGCCAATTCCACTCTCTTGTGTTTTGTGTAGATGACTTTTCCGCCTCCTCACCAACCATCCAATCAAATTCTTGCTGTTTATATCTTCGATCCTGTCATCATTCTTGGAAACTGTGCCTTTTCCAGAAGTAAGTTGTGCTCCACAGCTATCTGGTCCACAAGAACAAGGTTCTTGTTCGTTCAAACATGCACAGCTGTCATATGAATTGCAACAGGCAGAAGAGTTTTCCTGATTAGATTTCCTCTTCAATGGAACTGTTCCTTCGGTTGTTTGGTTTAGAGTCTCAATCACTTCTCCAAAAACTGACCATCTTCCTACAGACGTTATCTTCACAATAGCTGAAGTTCCCAGCATACTTTCTGGACCAATCACGAGGACCTGAATGTATCCCTTGGTATGGCCAACCTTAGGCAATTAATGAAGAAAAGAGGAAAGTTAGATATTAAAGAGTTAAACAAACCAAAAAAC